TCATGAAAAACCATCTGTTTTAGTGATTTTGAGATTTTTTTTTAAACTAATGATATTTCTTAGTCAATAATTAGTACTTACAAGGCTCCTTCTATAAATGGACATAATCTTAGCCAAAGAAAACAGTGCTTTACAAGACTTGTTAAGGAATCAGAAATATTGTTGCTGATAACTGTGAAAATCCCGGGTTACATAAACTAGCCACCAAGTCACAGCCACACATTTGCAGTCCCACCACAAATATGCTGGGAACAATTTCCAGATACACCCCTCATGCCTCATTTTGCACCCAGACATCAGCCTCTGGCCAGGCAGGCTTTTGGTTTCTTTCTATGTGACACTCATTTACTTGATCTAAACATTCTTCATGTAGTGTATAATTGAGTCTAAATCAGTCCTTAATCCACAGACATTGCTTAATCTATGGACACAATTTTATACTTACTGGGCTTCACAGATAACTTGGTTCCCTGTCCAAAGATAAGCTTTCCTCCCTGGTTATAATTCACACTGTGTTATATATCCTGTCAAAAACACATCCAATCTACGCGAACACATTTCTAATCCTCCGCCCCCCAAATCCACAGCAGATCTCTCCCCCCCAACAGCATGAATCATTGCTACACTTCTCATTGTTATTTAGTGGTGTTTCTCCCCTCCCCACCTTATAAGGGGTGCAAGGGTAGTCACACAGGGGATTGTTAGCAAATAATGAGAATTCCCATGTATAAAAAAAAATGTTTCTATTTAACACCAAACTGATCTCTCACTTTTCTTTCATGGCTCTGGATACTGCTGCCCAAGGAAATGGCTTGCTTTCAAATGTGCTCCTCATAGTCACAGCTAGAAAGACTTGGCTCACAGGAATTAAAACTAGGGGCAAGCGAAGCGTCAGGGAACTGGGCTTACCTGGGGTGACCACAACTTGGGTCCCTGCTCCAAAAATCAATTTCCCCCAGCCACTAGTTTCCGCACTGTGACAAACACCTCTACAAAATGGCTTCTCCAGAGAAGACAGCTGCTAAATGAAGACAAACTGCTCATGGGGAAACAATCCTGCTGCAAAATGAGGTAACTGAATGATTCGAGATATAAACTTTTTCACTCTTCTAATTTCTCTTCCTTCAAGATACTGAGGAAGATGTATGCAGAGAGCGGTGCTTCCTTGGCCATGGGGCCTGGAAGTGGTACCAGTGGAGTTAATGTAGCCAGGTACCTTGAGGCTCTGCTGTCTACAAATCCACGAAGTCTGAGGGTTTTGCCACATGCTAAACCCCTTCCTCAATGCCATTAGAGCTCAAACTACAGCTGATTAAAATCAGCTCACATCCCAGTCCTTCAGGATTTCATCTCAGTAAAAATACCTTATTGTTGAGGTCAATAGAAAAACTAATTCCAGGATCTCTGACTTTGTTCTTGTAGGAACCATTTGAGCCAGTGACCTTAATTGGCCTGTTTTCAAATCTATCAAATGGGCATGACTATATGGAATCCCTAGAGTCTTCTGCAAATGAAGCCCTTATCTCAGATGGTTTTACTGGTGGTGCTTTGACAGAGTGGGGCCCAGGGTCAGATGATCACGTATATTTTGGGAACAAATACTCAGAGACAACTCTCTTGGTGCCTAGTGGACCTCGCCCCCTCTCTACCTCCCAGAGCACCTGCAAGGATGAGAAGATGACTAGGTACTGGGTTAGGTCTGCTCAGCCTTTTTTGCGTTCTTTTGACCAAAGGAGGTTCCTGTGGAAATGACAGCAGGTCTTCCTCTCTGAGATAATAATATTCAGCACACAATTCAAATTATATGCCACTTACTTGGCTTGACAAGCAGCCTTGTCCCCTTTCCAAAGATAAAGGAGAAGCCTTGTCCTTCGCACAGTGATTATCTCAGCATCAAAAACCTGCCAGCTCAGCTTTCCCCACACAAAGAAAGCCTTCCTGGGAGGGGAACCTCCAATGTGTTTCCTCCACACAGTCTGTGACTTTCCTTCCTGAAGAAGCAGACCTTCCCACTCTTCACTGGCCTCACCTTTCTGCCGCTCACTCCCTTCTGCATCCCTCTGCATCCTGCCTCTGAGGTCACATTGGACTCTCCCCCACCACCAAGTTCCAAGCTAAGCACTAGATCTATTTCCTTGTCCCACTTAAGTGCACTCACAGGGCTGCACAGATAATCTGGTTCTGGAACCGAAGACCAAACGCTGGGCATTGCTATTCCCACAGTGCTCCTGGGCTCAACAAAATCCCCCGGAGCATCACCCTCACATGCTAGCATGACCCCAGAGCTCATGTGTTTGTGTTTGTCTTGTCCTGCCAAGCTCCGAGTTAAAAAAAAGGGTTCAGGACACACTCAGTCAAGAATCCAGAACTGAATCCAGCAGGCTTCAGTGTCCTGAAGGACGAGGCTCCGCATTAATGAACCCGTCTTTTCAGGGTGAGAGGCTCTGGGGGCTGGGGAGAGACTTAAAGAGGTTCTCTCATTTCTCCTGCCTCCAGGCAGGGCTGCACTTCAATCACCCCTGATAGGAGGGTGTCTATCTCCTTTCAAAAACCCTCTAGAGAAGTGCTCTGGCAACCACTCCTGACAGCTAATTTTCACTGTTCAAAAACCTATTAGGAAGGTTTTACCACTATCCTGACTCCCTTCCTGCAGTATAAGCCCGAACCTGCAGTCTGAATCCTGGTGGGGCTGGAAAGCACAGCCTCCCATCTTCTCTCTTGCGCATCCTTTCCCAGGTGAAGCTCGGTGATTCAGTGCCCACTTTACCCACAGTCTCCCTTCCTCTGAATAAAGCTTCCTGATTTGCCTCTGCAGACTGTCCCATTTTCAGGTTTGAGAGTTCTGCTGTGTTTTAGGGTGCCATGTTTCTTATAAGCTTCACTGCCATCCACCGCCCCTCGCCCCCCCCAATAGAAGGGCAATCTGGGGACAGGTTCTTGGAATTCCTGGGTAGTACAAATGGAAAGGGCTCAGCTACTAACCAAAAGGCTGGCAGTTTGAACCCATCTGAAGGCTCCACAGAAGAAAGACATGGTGTCTAAGATGATGGGCTAACTCTACAGCTGTTAGGTTTAGGTTTTTCCCTCCCCCCTGTGAACTTCTGTCTTCTCCCTGTCCCTATTCCTCTGCATTGGGAGCCTGCCTCTTGGGAAGGGGCTCAGGGTACTTTGGAGGAGTGACCATGGGTTAAGCTTGGTGATGAGGTGCAAGGTTGTGGTGTTGGCTACACTGATCGGCAGGAACTGTGACAACAGTCCAAGGGTTTGTGCGCAGCCTTTCAAACTGCACCATGCAACTCTTTGCAGAAACCTGTCCTCTGCTTCTGACACTTGGATGATTTTGTATTTAAATTAGCCAGGATTCTTTCTATTTCCATTTAGACATTTTCAAATCCCAGGTGAAGAATTTCACAGAACAGGCTGACATTCACCCCCTCCCATTCCGGCTCTTCTCCTGATGCGTGACAGAGCCTTGACAGAAGAGCCTGAGGGGCCAAACCAAAGCTTGGCTGCTGCTGAAGTTGATATTTATCATTATTATTAATAGCTAGGGCTTAATGAGCTCTTCCTACATGCTGGGCACTACACTCAATACTTAATTCTTACAAAGGTTCCACAGGCACATATATATTTTTATCCTGAGTCTATGAATGAGGGGACCAATGCTCAGAAAGGTTAGGTAACTCACCCAAAGCCACACAGCTAGTAACATAGCAAAGTCAGGTCTGAAATTCAGGTTTTTCTGTCTTAAATTTCACTCTGTGCAGCCTAATACATAGTTACTTGGGTTCAGAATGTCCAGAGGGGACACATGAAATTCCAAAGTTACTGCAGAGGGAGACTCAGTGAGTCTGAGCCCTCACCTCACATTTTAGGGCAGAAGTTTTGTTCTCAATTCAGATGCCCTTGAAAATGAGATGTGAGAAAGTACCTTCTGCAACAAGGGTTGCTAAAATATGGAATTGACTGGAGAGAAAGCAGGGGTTTCCTGCCTTAAGCCACCAGACAGCCAGAGCATATCCCCTGGGGTCAAGGGGCCTGTGCAGAAGCCTGGGCAGGGTGGTGGGAACGCTGGGTGTCCTCTGGAGGGTCTCGCTGACATTCTCACTGGTTCAATCAATTATTGTTCTATCTCCACTTTTAAAAAGTCTGTTATTTATACTCCTGTGAGCTCCTCAGTAGAGCTAGAGCAAGAGGATGTGTGTGTGCTCACACAGACATTTCATCTTAGAAACTCTCTTTGGCCTGGGGAAAGAACATTAATAAAGAGCCCAAGCAGATGCACAGGATTAAAGCCTTTTTTTCAAACAATGTAATGATTTGATTGATTGTACCTAAAGGTTCAGCTGAAGAAGGACACAACTTACTTGGCTTCACAGTGAGCGTGGTCCCTTTCCCAAAGGTTAATCTGTTTGCATCGTTGTTACACAGTGTTTGGTGCTATTGCAATAACCTTGAGTCTAGGAAGGCAGGTGGAGGTGGAGGAGGCAAGCAGAAAAATAAAACCTGAAATGACTGCCCATGGCCAAAACAATCTCCTTGTAATTAGGTTAGAACGTGTGATGAATACTAATAACCAGAAACTTCCTAGCCTGATTCTACTTGACATAATTTCCTTTGAAAGAATGGGCCTTGGCAGGAGAACCTCCTGGGAAATTCACTCAAAGTGGCTACCGATTGCTCTCCCGGGATCCTGCCTTTTTTGTTATCTTGCTGGTCCTTTGTCTATTTTCATCCAGTTCCTGCCTTTCCCTTTACTTTCCCTTGACCAAGCTCCATGTGGAGCCCACACGTTTCCTCAGGGAGTGACAACATGGATATTAAAAGCCACGTACAATGCCAGAGGGAGTATGTGCATTAATAACCTTGTTTTCCAACTGGTATCAAGAACCACCCAACACAAACCAAGCAAAGAAAACACCACCTGTGTTTTGACAGCTTCTGCATGATGGAAGATGGGTTTCTTGGGAAGAATAATTAACCGGAAAAGAAGAACTTACTTGGTGTGACCAAGAGTTTGGTGCCCTTCCCGAAAGTGAGTCCATAACTCCCAGATCCAGAGTATGCACACAATTTCCTGCCTTTGCAAAAACCCTGCAGATGTTGAGAAAATCAAACCACGCATGACACAGAAGCAGCACTGACAATAGCTCAAACTGTAATAACCAGATGCCAAGCAAAAGAAAAGGCCTATGACAGAGGCTTGCAATCCGGTGAATTGTCTGAGTTCTACAGAAATCTGGCCAGACTTTCCGAGGTCACCCAGTCCATTCCCCCTACTTTCTACTGAGGTCTTCTCAGGCCAAAGATCCATCTAGTCTTTAATAGTTCAGGTAAAGTGGCTCTCCTTTGCCAACAGTCCTTAAATTTCAAGCAATTGTTCCTTATGCCCAACTGAAATCCTGCAGACTGTAGTCCAAGCCCTGTACCTTATGTGGTTCCCTCCTTGGAAACCAGAGTACTCCAGATAGGAACTCATCACAATACACAAAACCAGCCACCTTTGGGGAGGGAATGGATATTGGAGGAAGCAGACTAGGCAAACATTTGCTTTTTCTGTGATTTGGATTGTTTATAATGCTACATTTTTATGTACTGCTGAGGCAAGCTAAAATTAATAATACTAAATATAAGCCTATAATGTATTTTAAAATTGCTCATTGGATTCACATTGTTATTGAAGACAAGCCTTCTGTGTTTCTCTAGGCTAAGGAGTCTCGAGTTTTCTGCTATAAGGTTTTGGTCTCTGAGGATAAGAGGAAGAAGCTCTCTGGACTGGGATGTGGGGTCTGAGCAGCTGCAGGCAATAAGGCCAGGCAGTGGCAGCTGGCCCAGTTCTGTGCTTGTCCACGGTTGTTTAGTTTTTAAAATCACGATGAACAAGCCAGACTAACCTGTTCATCTTCCTTCTTGTCACTAACTCCTAGATCCTAACAGACTTTTCTCGAAGACAAAAGCATTCCTACCTAGGTACCTTGACAAATCATCAAAGAGAAAATACTATTATTGGTCAAAGTGAAGGGTGACCAGGGACACTTACTTGAAATCACAGACAATCTTGTGCCTTTTCCAAAGACAAGTTGCCTAGCTCCTGTGTTCTCACAGTGACAGCCCCCATAACAAAAACCTTCCCCGGTTCAGTCCAGTGTAAACTCTCTGTCCTTGCAGGATCACCCTGAAATCTCCCCCCAGACCGTAGTTTTTCTTTTCTATTGGCACATCTTTGCCGCCTCCTCTTTGATTTTCTACAGGGTGAAGTATCATTAATATGCCTCCAGCTTTGCTTGCCCACCCTGCTGACAAGAGCTTCCATACATGGAGTTATGGCCTAGGAACACATTTCTGAACTATCTGCAAATTTTCAGCTTATTGTTAGCCTGTGAAATATATTCCAAAGGAAACTCCTGTTGCTGGCCCCATAATCAACTCTCTGCTGTTATAGAAATAAAACAGCAAAAAAAGGGAGTGGTCATTTCTCCTAAACACAGAAGAGGATTTGGAAAATGGCACAGAGCGGGAAGGCTTAATATGCAAGAAGTTGTGCTTGGCTGACACTATTTTTATTGCCTTTGGCATTAAAGTGGTTCCCATCCCTGGGCTAAGGGAAATGAAAGTCATAGACCACCAGAGCCAGGAACATCAGCAGAGTCTAATAGCGAAAACCAGGCCTTTCTATGAAGGGTGGAGGAGAGGGGTCATTGGTAGATCAGGGAGACTCCTAACAGCAATTTAATTACGGCCAGAAATCACAGTAGTTTTAGAAATGTGTTCCCTTCCAGAAGCAAACAAGTCTATGGGAGAGATTTGACAGAATTCTGGAAAAAATTATCACGTTTTAAACTTTTTATCATATATAATCAAAGAAAATTATTATATTTAAGCCACAGACATGTGGCAGCAATGCTCCAAGCTCTAGGGGACCAGTTTGATTCTTGGTTAAGGTGGGAAAGAGCTGAGGACCATCTCTCTGCAATGGCAGGAGGGCCTAGGTGCCACAGACCTCCAGTATGTCCTTGAACCTAAGACATTCTCCCCTCTCTCCTTTAAAAATTCTCTTGGCTCAGTGAAAGCTGGAATCAGAAAAATTACAAGAACCGCACTTACTAGGCAGAACATGAAGTTGAGTCCCTTTCCCAAAGATGATTTTGTTCACGTTTTGTTGACACTGTGATTGGGGCCATAACAAAAACTCCTGGCAGGTTTTTTTAGGAAAGCTACACATCCCTTCATGAGCATTTCACCTTCACGGGATTGAAGCGATCCTCACACCATCTCCTCTACTATAGTAAACAAGCCTCATTATCTGTTCAACCATCTTTCTCTGCATCTTCAGCTTGTTTTGCTTGAATTTTATGCTGCTTATGCATTTTATGCAGAGAGGAAATTGAACGACCTCATTTGACACTGAGAGTGAATTATAAAAGCAACAATTCAACAAACTCCTTTCCAATATCAAGCACAATTCTATTATGTTACAGCAGGCAAAAAAGAAAAAGAAGGGCAGACAGACAGTCCCTGAGCTGGAATTCTACTCTTTGGAGTCCAAATAAGAACACAGACAGGAACTGGTGGCTTCAGACAAACAACTGGCTTTCTACTTGGGATGGAACTGCATTGTAGCACCCTCATCTGAGCAAGAGGAGATGTATCATCAAACTCCGAGGCCACCTCATCTCTCTCCAAGCGTATGTTTGCTACTATCATGATAGCCTTGTCCTAGCTGAGGGCAGCTGGGATCATTCTTTTTGGCCCAGAAGGATTCCAACCTTTTGGAAAATGTTCTCCTTTCACAGCCTAGGAAGTTCAAACCAATAAGAGCTGGAAATCTTATGTCATAATCATCCACCCTGACCAGATCCTACTTAGACTCATAAAGAACCATGTCCCACTATTTGTTTCTCATCTACCTGACCTCCAAAATACTCTTTTTTTTATAATTTTATTTTATTATTTTTACATGTACCGTCAAATCAGATCTGACTGGTACAGGAGGAGATTGCCCCCTCCTTTTCCAGCAGAGCATCTGGTGGCTTTGAACCATGTACCTCTGGGATTGTAGTGCAAAATACTCTTTAACACAATTAATAGAAATGATGAACTTGGTTGGTCACATAGAGAATCATTTAGTTTTCTCTCTGGGCATTCCTACAGCTGAAAATGCAACAACAGTCTATCCTCTTTTAAAGCTCTTTGAGCAAGTTATTTTATAGTCTCGAGTGTAGCCTGGTGTATGGATACCTTAATAATCTAGCCAGTCAACCTGACGACACTTGTCTCAATACTATTTTTTGGACTGATATTTGAACAGACCCATTTCCCCCCTCCCCCCCCCAATGGCAGCGTAGAGAAACTGACACCTCTGGCACACCCCAAGGAAATACATTTAACATTTTTACTCATCATACAGGTATTAATCATTAAACAAAAAAACCCTCATCATTATACCTGCCATATTTTATTTCTCTTTGACTCTCAGGTACTTATAAAGTCATCTGGGATCATCAATTCATCTCGGAATTGCTTTTTCCTGTTGTATTTGAATAGTAAAGCTTACTTTTTTTTTTAAAAGTAAAATTTTATATGTATGGGAAGAGATATGGATATTTGTCAAAATGGGACAATATTTGGGCTTCTTATTGGATATTTTATATGTACAGGCCTTGAGAGATAAAGAAGCTTCCTTACAAATGTTAGTAGCATTTAAAATGAATTAGACTCTCATTTATAATAGAATGGAAGACAAGTACTGCAGGCAAAATCACAGTAAACACACAAATCATTACAGAACATAGTTTAAAAGATACCGTGGCTCTAAACAACTCACACTTCAATCTCTTTTTGGAAAAATCAAGCTGCCCTATCGTATTGAAGGTGATTTGGAATGGTCTTATTATTTTGTATCTATTTTCCACTATTGCTCTGTTCCCAATAATCAAGAATGTTCTATACATTTGCAAGAGTTCTTTTTCAAAGGGACTATCGCTTTATGTTTTAAATTAAATCTGTATTGAATTCACAGGATTTATTCGGTCAAATAGAAAAAGATTATGGCCACTTACTGGGTTTCACCACCAACTGGGTTCCACTTCCAAAGAAGACTCTATTATTAGTATTCCCACACCATTTCCCGCCTTTACTTAAACCCCTCCTTACCTTCCCCAGTTTACCCAGGGTACACTAACCTCCAACTGGATACAGGGTATAGTGGGAAAGGGGAAGTTAAGAGTCTCCAAGATTATTTTTCTGTGTCTTAGAGAGATAGCTTTTTATGACCTCTCCCCAAAACTGGTTCTGCTAATCTCTTCTTTTAAAAGACCAAATTGGTGAGCTTTTGCATTTCTAAGTTTAAATCTTCCAAAGCTAACTCATATAATTTGTTAACAACTCTTGCTTTTATATGTGTAAACTCACCCCTTGACACATGCTTTGAAGGAATGATGCATTTCCATGTTCACAGAAATGTTGCCAGCTCTAGAGTTACCTGACCTTGCACCTATAATCTACCCAATCTCCATACTTCTGTCCCTTAATCAGGGGTCAAGCTATTTGAAAGCTCTCTTACTACATAGTTGGTTTTATGTAGTAGCCTCATGAGAGGGAAGAGTCTTAACTGTTCCACTAAAGCATGTCTACCATGGATCATATGACATTTCAGCCAGAAAGGAGCAGAGAATTATGACAAATCATTTCTCTCAAATTAAGAAAAGCCTAGTACTGAAACAAATGGAAGAAGTTAATGCTTTCTGCTATAAAATAATTGTATCTTAAAGGCAAAGATAAGTGCACAGGAGAACTCCTTTATCATGAAGCTTAGTGTAGGCTGGCCTTTAATGTATACCAAGTATCTGGAAAACAGGGGCATGAGCCTTCAACACAGTGATACCAGGTCACTGGCTCTGGGTTCAAAGTAGATCGTACGTGGTAGGATTTTGAGATTGGAGAATAGAGGAGACTTGATCTTATCCTCAGGGTGACTGTGACTTGTTGAAGAAGAAGGGTTCAAAGCATTTTATTTATGTTCTCTCTCATTCTAGGGAAAATGAAATGGAAGCAAAAGTAGATA